CGCAAGCGCGGCAGCGCGGGGCGCCACGACTCTTATTCGGACGCTGGGGCGGGCCGACAGAGAAACGCGGGCCAGGCACGGGGCAAGAACGGGCAGCGAGGGGCCGAGGAGCGAAGAGGGGAGGGGGGGAGGGGGGCGAGACGACAGGAAAGGACAGACCGGGCCCACAGACGGACGGACGGGGGGGCAGGGAGGGGGGGCCAGGCAGAAGGAAGAGGGAGAGCACACACCGCACAAGGGGGAACGCGGAGAGGGAGAGGGGGGGGGGGGGAGAGGGGAGAGGGAGGAGCCGGGGGCGGGGGCCAAGACAAGGAAGACGGAGGGCCGCGGAAGACGGCGGGCCGAGGGCCAAGGCAAGGAACCCTGCCTTCTAAGAAGCCACCCACCCTCCCCTTCCCCCCTCGGCGCGCCGCCGAGCTGATCTCCAGCGTGTGCTTCTGCGTGTCGGCGGCGGCCTTCTCCGCAGCGGCCTTGAGCCTGATGAGCAAGGCGTCCATGTCGGCTTTCACCTTCGGCGATGCGTATGCGCTGAAGACGGACTCATCGAACGCCATGCGCAATTTGCGCGGGCCCATGCGATCGATGATGCTTGCACTGAAATCAGACCATGGGCTCTGGATCTTAGCGGTGATCGGGAACCCCATGCCGGTCACGTCCGCTTTCTGGGTGAGGATGGGGCTGATGTACCAATTCAGGTTCGTCGCAATGCCGTTTTCGTCTGGATCGCTCAGGGCAAACCGACCGACATTCGGCATGTCCCAGTCGATATGCTTGGGCGGCTGCTTCTTGTTCTGGGTCTCATCTGGCTTGATGACCGCGGCCCCCGCCGTCGGCGGGGGCGCCAAGCAGCGCTCCCCCCTGCCAAATTCCTGGCGCTTCGCGTATCCCCCCGCCCAACCCATCCAGAAACGATGCCGATGCCAAAAGTCTGGGGGATCCGTCGTAGTCGTGCCCCAGGAGGGGGAGGATGGAGGAGGGATCGGAGGAGGACGAGGAGGAGGAAGTGGTGGAGGAGTAGGAGGATGAGAAGGACGCCGGGCGCCCCCGCAGGTCGCCAGGCGTGAAATGATAAATGAATGAAGGGATGAAGGGATTGAGGAATTCAGGAATTAAGGGATGAAGGGGTTAACGGATTAAGGGAGAGAGGAAAAGAGGGAGAGCGTGAGAGAAACGAGGGGCGGAGGCATCGAGGGGCGGACGAACGGAAGGGCGGAAGGGCGGAATGGGCGGACAAACGGAAAGAGGGAAGGAGTGAGGAAGGGAGGAAGGGAACGAGGAGACGGAGGGAGAGAAAGAGAGAGAGAGAGAGAGAGAGAGAGAGAGAGAGAGAGAGAGAGAGAGAGAGAGAGAGAGAGAGAGAGAGAGAGAGAGAGAGAGAGAGAGAGAGAGAGAGAGAGAGAGAGAGAGAGAGAGAGAGAGAGAGAGGGAGGGAGGAGAGAGGAGGGGGGGATTGAGGGATTGAGGAATGGAGGAACTGAGGGATTGAGAGATTATGGAAGTGAGGGATTGAGGGGCCGAGGGCTTGATGGGGTTGAAAGATTGAGGGGCTGAGGGGCTGAGGGGCTGAGGGATGGAGGGGTGCAGGGGTCGAGGGGTGAAGGGAAGAAGCGATGAATGGATGAAGGAATGAGGAGATGAAGCGGTAAAATGATTAACGAGAGTAAAGAATTGAGGGGTTTGGGGGGGGCCGGAATAAGGGGCTGAAGGGGTTGAGGGGCGCAGGGGTTCAGGGATTGAAGGGTTGATGAGGGGTTCAGGGATTGAGGGAGGGAGGGGGGTGGAAGAAGGGAGGGGGGGGAGAGGGAGGATACGAGGGAGGGGCGGAGGGAGACGCGGAGGGACGCAGGGAGGGAGGGGGGGGGAGAGACGGAGCGAGGGAGGCGAGAGGGGGGGCGAGAGGGAGAGAGGGAGGGAGGGAGGGAATGACGGAGGGTGGGACGGAGGATGGAAGGACGGAGGGAGAGAGGAGGGACTGGAGGGAGAGACGGAGCGAGGGAGGGGAGAGGGAGGGAGGGGGAGAGGGAGAGAGACAGGGAGGGAGGGGGGGAGGGAGAGGGAGAGAGGGAGGGAGGAGGGCAGGAGGGATTGAGGGTGCGAGGGATTGAGGGGGTGAGGAGTTGAGGGATTGAGGGGTTGAGGGATTGAGGGGTCGAGGGGTTGAACGATATGAGAATGCAAAGGGTTGAGAGGTTGAGGGGTTGAGGGATTGAAGGATCGAGGGATTGAGGGGCTGAGGGATTGAAGGGTTGAGGGATTGAGTGACTGAGGGGTTGAGGGATGAGGGGTCTGAGGGAGGAAGGGGTGAAGCGATGAAGGGATGAAGGGATGAAGAAATGAAGGGACCAAAGGATGAAGGGATTAAAGAACTAAGGGGTTGAAAGATTAAAGGGTTCAGGGATTAAGGGATTAAGGGATGACAGGATGAAGAGATGAAGGGATTAAGGGATTAAAAGATTGAAGGGTTGAAGGATTAAGAGATTAAGGGATGAAGAGATAAAAGGGATGAAGGGGTGGAGGGATTCAGGGATTCCCGGCGCCGTAAGCATCGCCTGACCCTCCTCATCGTCATCGCCATAATCAGCATCACCACTATCATCACCATGAACATCATCATCGACATCATCAACAACATCATTGTCGTCATCGTCATGACTGCGCGGTGATGATGCAAGGCTGGGAGGTTGGCCGTGGATGACGCCTGGCCTGGGGCCGACTCCTCCGCGAGGCCTGCACGAGGTTCCCGGCGCCGCGCAGACGCGCTAGGGGGGCGGCGGCCGCCGCCCAGCACGTGAAAGCGAACGCCCACGCGACGCTCGAGGACGCGAAGCAGGGCCGCATCGAGGACTGGCCCTGGCTTGGCAACCACTTTTTCTGCCGCAGCGCTGCAGAGGCAGTCTGCACGCGCGCTCGAGCGGGCTGGGAGACGGCAGCTGCGAATTGTCCGGCAGCAAGAGGGGGCGCGGCCGAGGAGCGGCGCAGCCGGCCGAAGTCGGGTGCACCAAGGCGGCCCAACCTTTCAGGCGATTCCCGCGCATGGCGCTCAGCTCGTCGAGGAAAGTGGCCATCTGCACTTTGTCGTGCAGGAAGGGCGGCAATGCCCAATCTTTTTTGATCCCGTATTCGATGTCAATGAGTTTCCACGCGATCTCTGCCTGGGAACGCTGCAAATCGCCCACGATGTCTGCGCAGTAGCTGTCTCCATAACGGCGCTCGAACAGACCCCACCAGAAGTCCGCCACCGCGCCAGGGCGATACGGGCGCGGGAGAACGCCTCTGAACTGTTTGGCCGCGTTTGTGCAAGTGTCTGAGGCCCCCCCCCTTTCGTCCGAAACCTCCGCGTGCAAAGGCCCCATCCCGAGGCCCCATGGGCGGCCACATGTTACGGCTCTGGCAAGGCGGAGAGAATGGCCGTAGGCAGCTGGATAATTCGGGATTTTCTTCCAATATCCATACGTGCTCGGCCATGGGTCGTCGAAGAGGCCGCCCTTGTTGCTGCTGCTGGCCGCCGCCTTCTCTACCGCCTTGCCGAAGTTCTCCTTGCGCACCGTGGAGAGCGCGACCTTGGCTTTCTCTGGGTGTGCAATGAGGTGGCATGTCAGGTCAACAATGGCCTCCAAAGACTCCTTCTGCTGATTTTTGGCGATGTCCAATTCGTTGACCTCCTATGCGTGGAGAAAGCATTCACACGCCACCGCCGCACAGGGCCGATGCAATCCTGGGCCTTGGGATGGTGCACGCGCCCTTCCAGGGCCCAGGATGGCGTGGGCCCTGCACGGCGTTGGCGTAAGAATGCCTTCCGCAGGATCCTTGCCGAGGCCCAGGAGCTTTCCAAGAAAATCCCTCGCTTTCTTCTGCGCGTGGATGAGCTTGCAACCAACAAGATAAAGACTGGCCATGGCCAGAGACTGAATGTAGCGGCGCGCAAGGATGGGCAGGGCGGGGCGGCGGCTTGATTGCAAAGTAAGAACACGGACAGCAATGCAAAGAAACGCTTTGAATTATTTTGCTTCGAGCGACCCCCACCGAAATTCTCGGCGTTTGTTCCCGACGGCGCGCGCGGACCGAGGAGGACCGACGGGAACTAAGGGGGGCCGAGGGGGACCGAGGGGAACCGGGAGGGGGACCGAGGGGGACCGAGGGGGATCGAGGAGGACCGACGGGGACCGAGGAAGACCGAGGGGGACTAAGGGGGACCGAGGGGGACTACGAGGGACCGAGGGGGACCGAGGGGGACCGAGTCACGCCCAGAAGGCCCAGGGGGACCGAGTCACGACCGAGGGGGACCGGAACCGTTGTGTGTCGTTCGACTGCCCTGCAAGAAAGAGCCCGCGAACTGAGGGCGTGGCATTTCCCTTTGCTGCGCCACTGCAGCAGCTGCTCCTCATCAGTTCATGTCCTCACCCGCCCCTCGTCGACCCCGGAAACAAGAGGGAAGATGAAGATACTGAGGAGGGGATACGGACTCCATCTTCTGATCGATGTCATCCAACATGCCCCCCTTCGGGGGGGGCAAAAAAAACGCGAAAACCGCCCCACGGCCCACGAGAGGGCCCCCAAACGAGCCCCACGACGGCCCAGGAAGGCCCCAACACGGCCCAAGACGCCCCCAGGACGGCGCACGAAAGCCCGAAGATGCAGCCCGCGAGAAGTGATTTGAGCTAGCTTTGGGAGTTTTTCCTTCCAGCTTGTCTTCCAGACCTCCCAAAGTCCCCCCAGGAGACACCAAAAGAGTTCCCAACAGGTCCCCAACCGACCGCTAGAGGCCCCCTTTCACTGCCCCTAGGGGGCCCCGAGACGCCCCAAAGAGGTACCCAATAGACTTTCAGGAGGAAGGGCCGTGTTAAGTTTTCGGAAGCCCGTCAAGAAGCAGCTTGTAAAACTCATTGGACCATCGATGTTTTTCCACTCGAGGGCGTCATGGGTGCCCACTGTAGCCTTCTCGGGCGGGCCCCACTTTCGGCCATCTTGTGGCCTTTCTGTGTCGTCCCGAGGTTTTCTTGGGCAGTCTTGCGGCCGTCTTGGGGGCTTTCGGGGCCGTCTTGGGGCGAGCTTCGTTATGCTCGGGCGGCATGTGCTTCTTTTGGAGCCGATTGGAGGCCGAATAGGGCGCCAGAGAGCACAGTCCGATGGGGACGGTTTTGCAAGCACGCGTGAAACGAGAGGGTCGGCTTAACCACGAAATTTAACACCAACTGTTCAACAGAGGGCCACTCCAATACGCACAATCCGTGCAGGCACAGTGGCGGATACCAGTCTGTCGCGTCATGGCATATTCAAAACATCACAAAATACAGCATTGCGTTGCATAGCGCCGCGTCGCTCCGCATTGCAACGCGTTGCCTTAAGCCTTTCCTGGGGGTCCTTCGTGGGGCCGTACTCGGTTTTTCAAGTACGTGCGGCCTGAGCGGCGTATCTGGGCATTCGCATGAACGCTTCTGCACCCGAGGGCGCACAGATAGCCATTTCGGCCCAAGCGAGATTCGAGGCTTGCGCGAGACACGACGCGTGAGAGTGACTTTTCGCTGGTGGCCTTTGGTGAGCGGCTTTCTGGTCCTCGGCGGGGGGCCCTCCTCGCAACGGCCGGACGCAGCTCGAGAAACGAGTCAGTTTGGACCCCGGGAGGGGTACGGGGACCGATTTGGAGCGAAAATGTGCGCACCAAAGGTCGCTCCTGCCAGAGGTCACTCTTGCGTGGAGACGACTCAGGCCTGTTCCGCGGCGCACGCGGGGCATACCTCCACCCCACGGGGCCCCATGCCCAGCTCATGCGGGAGAAGCTGGGGCTGCAGGAAGGCGAACCGGAGGGAGGGCAGTGCATGCTCCTGAGCACCGCCGCCTCCTCGCTGTGGCGGCAGCACGGCACCCCCCCTCATCAGAAGGAAGTGCACGCCCTGGCCACCCGCTACCGGGCGGAGCTGCTGGAGGCGGCCGGCGATGCGCCTCCGGCCTCCAGTTCGCCCCTGGACGACGCACTCCGGGCGGGAGCCGCCGTCCCGCACTCGGGAAGAGACTACCGAGAGTTTCCCTTACTGGGAGGCCCCGCCCTCACCAGCGTCGACCTCCACCGGGAGGAGGCGGGAGGAGGAGTGAAAAGGATGGGGGGAGGAAGCGGGGGCGGCAGGGAGGAGGAGGGAGGAGGAAAGGGGGAAGAGGCTGGAGGGGGGAGTAGGAGGGAGGAGGAGGGACGACAAGGGAGGAGGAACGGGGAGGAAGGAGGAGGAGGGAGTAGGAGGGATGAAGAGAGAGGAGGGAGGAGGGATGGGGGGACGGGGGGATGAGGAGGACGACGAGGAGGAGGGGGAATGGGCGGACGAAGGGAGAGGATGGCGAGTAAAGGGTGAGCGGCCTCCTGGATGTTTCTCGGAGTCTCTTGGGCCGCCCCTTGGGGGTTTCGGTGGGCCTCTCGGGGCGTCGTGGGGGCGTCTCGGCGGTCCCAAGGGCTCTTGCGGCGTCCCTGGTGCTTCAAGAGGGCGTCCTGGGGCCGCCCAGGGGCCGTTCGGAGGCCTCTTGGGGGCTGTTCGGCTGCCATGGGTTCCTCACGGGTCATCCTGGCCGCAATTCGGGGCTCCTCTGGGGCTTTCTTGAGAGCCCAGCGGGGCCTCTTGGCGCAGTCTTGGAGGGCGTCGATCAAAAGAGTGGTTGACCTCCCCTCCCCTCTTGAGGCCATCACCGACGCACTTTGGGGCAATTTTCGGGCGCCCTTGCACGCTCTCGGAGCCTTCTCGTGGGCTTCTTGGGCCCCTCTGGGGGCTCATTTGGGCCATTCTGGGGTCATTGTTTAGGCCCCAGAAGCCCATCGGACATGAAAAAGCGAGGAAGCAAGCATCGTTGATTTCCTTCGAGGGGTTATGTTGCAGGATTTGTGCTTCGATGGGGGGATGGGGGGGAATGGCGGCTCCGACAGCATTTGGGTCCGTCTTGGAATTCTCTGGGGCCTTGCAGCGTATTGGAAGCCATCCTGAAAGAACCTGCGCTAGCCTGACCAATATTGGATGCCATCTTGGGTTTTCTTGGCCCTTTGGGGGCCATCTGAGACTATCTCGGGCGCTCCATCCCCTTGCGGCCCCCTTGAAAAAATTGGAAATTGGAGGGGGAAAGCACCCCTACCCCAGGGGAAGCGGGGTTTCGGGAGAGGAAAACATATCTCGTGAAAAGGCTGCTGGGCTTTCCCAGTTCCCCTGAGGCATTTTTCCCCACCCGACAGGTTGAGGTTGTTAGATTTAAAGAATAGACTTCACGGCCCGCCCACCCTGCATACCGCGGCCGCCAAATCCCGAAAAGTGCCGAGGGTCTTCGAGTATCCCGCCTCGCCCCCTCGACGAACCCTGCATACCGCGGCCGCCAGATCCCCAAAAGTGCCGAGCGTCCCCGAGTATCCCGACCACCACCACACACCACACACCACACACCACACACCACACACACACACACACACACACACGCACACCACACACCACACACCACACACCACACACCACACACCACCACCCACACACCCACACACACACACACACGCACACCACACACCACACACCACACACCACACTCCACAACGCACACCACACACCACACACCACACACCACACACCACACACACCACCACCCCCACCACAACCAACACCACCACCACACCACACACACACACCACCACCACACCACCACCACCAAAACCCACACCACACACCACACACATTTACACCACCACCACCACATCACACACACACACACAACCCCACACCACACCACCACCACCACACACCACCACCACCACCAACACCAACACCACCACCACCACACACACACACCACACACCACCACCACACACCACACACCCACACCACACACCACACACCACAACCACCACCACCCACACACACTCCCACACACACACACACCCACACACCACACACCACACACCACACCCACACACCACCACCACACACACCACCACCACCACCCACCACCACCAACACACACACACACACACACGCACACCACACACCACACACCACACACCACACACCACACACACACCACCACCCCCACCACCACCAACACCACCACCACACCACACACACACACACCACCACCACACCACCACCACCACCACCAAAACCCACACCACACACCACACACACACACACCACCACCACCACACCACACACACCATCACCACCCACACACACACACCACACACCACATTCCACACACACGCACCACACACACCACCACCACAACACACACACACCACCACCGCCAACACCACCACCACACCACCACCACAACCACCACCACCACCCACATACACCACACACCACACACACATACACACCACCACCACACCACCACCACCACCACGGTACTCCTCGGTCTTCCTCCTCGGTCCTCCTCGGTCCCCCTGGGTCCCTCTCGGTCCCCCTCGGTCCTCCCCGGTCCCCCCTCGGTCCCCTCTCTGTCCCCCTTCGGTTCCCCTTAGTTCCCCCCTCTGCTTCGATATATTATTCTTTCGGCCCCTCGGCGCCCCTCGGCCCCTTCGGTCCCCCTCGGTCCCCCCTCGGTCCCCCCTCGGTCCCCCCCGGTTCCCCTTAGTCCTTCGTTCCCCTCGGTTCTCCTCGTTCCCCCTCGGTCCTCCTCGGTCCTCCTCGGTTCCTCTCCCAGTTTCCCCTCTTACCCCTCGGTGAGGGCCTCACAACTCCCCCAAACCCTTCCCCTCTGGACCTGGACTCGTGACGCATTGGAGCTTCCAAGATGGCCCAGGATAGCTCTCAGAGCGCCTCAGGGAGCCCGAGATGACTTCCAATATGGCTCAAGATAGCCCGCGATCGCTCAACATGCCTCCCAACATGCTCCAAGAGGCCCCCAGTGTGCCCCAAGACTGACCCAAGTGACCACGAAGCCCCTCCCCTCCAGGACGCCCCAGGGTGCCAACATCAAGCACCTACCGAAAATCTATGTGCTGTTTGCCTTCCCGCTCTTTTGCTTTTCGATTGCCTTCCGTGGCCCAAGATGACTCCTGGAGATCCCAAAAGAGCGCCAAAAGAGGCCCAAGAGGGCCCCAAGAGCGCTCCAAAGCGCCCGCAAAAGTGGCCCCAGAGGCGGGTTATCAATGAGGCAGCGGTAATTTAGGACACCCCGTTCCTTCGATCCATCTCTTCCAAGATTGCCCGAACAGGCGCCCAGGAGGCCCGAAGATGCTCCAAAGAGGCCCCCAAGAGACCCCCAAGAGGCACCGAAAGGCCCCCCAAGAGGCCCCCAAAAGGGCCCCAAGAGACTTAAGCGACTTCCACAAGGTTCCCCGAGGCACCCAAGATACTCCAAAAAAACCCTGGGCCGCCAAGAGGCCCCCAAGATGTCCCAAAAAACCCTAGGAAGCTCCCCAGAGACATCCGAAGACACCCCGAAAGGCATCCAAAGGGCCTCTGGCCTTTTTGCTCGTTCCCCGCTTCCTCGATACTGTCCCACCGATTCCTCCTCCTCCTCCTCCTCCTCCTCCTCCTCCTCCTCCTCCTCCTCCTCCTCCTCCTCCTCCTCCTCCTCCTCCTCCTCCTCCCCCTCCTCCCCTCCTCCTCCTCCTCCTCACCTCCTCCTCCTCCTCCTCCTCCTCCTCCTCCTCCTCCTCCTCCTCCTCCTCCTCCTCCTCCTCCTCCTCCTCCTCCTCCTCCTCCTCCTCCTCCTCCTCCTCCTCCTCCCTGGCGCAATTTCTATGCTCGCCACTTGTACGCCCTTGTCGACGAATGCAGCGAGCGTGCTCACGATGCGGCGCTGTCCTGCCCCTGCTTCACTCCGCCCCCTTCTTCCATTGACGCGCGATGTCTTGTGAGGGCGGCCAGCTGGGGCAGATTCAGCACTGCCGCGACCCAGGCCCAGCGGAGACGCCACGTCGGTGCGTCCCGCTGCTGGTGTGGGGCTTTGGCCTGTCTACATAACGGGTCGCGTCGCTCACGTTGGCAAGCTTTGATTGGCGATACTTTATCGCGGCACTGCATATTCCTCTACATATCGATCGGCTTGCTGACTTCGAGTGTGTCGGACCGGACCGGACCGGACCTCCTCCTCCTCCTCCTCCTCCTCCTCCTCCTCCTCCTCCCTCCTCCTCCTCCTCTGCCTCCTCCTCCTCCTCCTCCTCCTCCTCCTCCTCCTCCTCCTCCTCTTCCTCCTCCCTCCTCCTCCTCCTCCTCCTCCTCCTCCTCCTCCTCCTTCCTCCTCTCTCCTCCTCCTCCTCCTCCTCCTCCTCCTCCTCCTCCTCCTCCTCCTCCTCTCCCTCCTCCTCCTCCTCCTCCTCCTCCTCCTCCTCCTCCTCCTCCTCCTCCTCCTCCTCCTCCTCCTCCTCCTCCTCCTCCTCTCTCCTCCTCCTCCTCCTCCTCTCTGGTCGTTCATCCCCTACCCCCTCCTTGCCATCCTCCACTTCCCCGCCTCCGCCGCCCCTTCCGTCCCTCATCCCTTCCTCCTCCATCTCGTCCCTCTCCGATCCGCTTCCCCCCTTTTCAAGGGCATGACGGTCCTTTGGTTCTTCTGCGTGCTCCCCTCTTTCCCTAACCAGTGCAACTCGTCTGGGCATCGTTGCTGGATGAACTGGTGGTGTTGCACGAAGCGTCTAGAATTCCCTGCTCGTCGTCCGCGTCGCCCCCATCCCCCTCCCGCTCGGCACTGTCGTTGTCATTCCCGCTGTCCTTCGCCCCTAGCGTCGCCCTGTCTCCCTGTTCGACCTCCCCCCTTCCACGTCATTCCTTGCCTCGTCATCGCTGTCATCGCCCCCCGCCCTGCGCCCCGCCCCCCTCCTCGCCCCGACCCTTTCTCCTCATCCTCACCCCGAGGCGGAGTCGGGAAGGGAAAAAGGGGGCGGGGTATTTTTTATGAGACTTCGGGCGCCTCGAGCGCCAAAGCGCAGAGGCGGCACCCCCGCGCGCGGGCGGGAAACGCGAAAGCAAACCGGGACGCGGGCAACGACTCTCGCGCCCAACCCCGCCCGCCCCCGCCCCCGCAATCGCAGGCGGCGCAGGGGGGCGAGGGGCGCATGAAGAGGAAGCGGGGGCGAGGAACGCATGAACAGCCAACCGAAACATTCGCCCAATGCGGCTGGGCACTGAAAAGGAGGAGGGAGGAGGGCGCCGAACGAAACCGGCGCGCGACCAAACCTGTCATGGGCGACTTCAAGTCGACCCACAAGAGCCTCGGGTGCCGACATAGACTGAACATGTCCACGTGGGCGTTCTGCGACGCCCGCGTGCCAGAGCCCCGCGTCCCGCCCGCAAGGCAGAAATCGGCGACCCCTGTTTTCACGGGTGACCCCCCCCTTCCACCCGCCCGCCCCGCCCGCCCGCCCGCCCCCCCTGGCCCCCCATCCCCCTCCCCCCTTCGGACCCATTGAAGCACTGGAAGCAGCGAACATGATGATTCGAGCCGGGGCACGCACAACGACCATGAGCATGAAGTTTTGTTTGTTTTCTGAGGGGGGGAAAGGGGGGGGGGCGGGGGGCGAGGGTCAAGACATGCGGCTCGAGCGAGCAAGCGCTTCCCCATTGCCCCGCGAACCAGTTGCATTGGAAAAGGGACGCGGCGCAATGGGCAGTTTACCACATGCACGGGGGGGTGCCGCCTCGACGATCGTTTGCCGCGGCGCGATTGCCCGACGGGGCCCGGCCGTGACGTCGAGCACCCTTCTCGCCATTCCCCCCCCCAATACACACACACACACGCACACACACGCACACACGCACACACACACACACACACACACACACACAACACACACACACACACACACACACACACACACACCACACACACCACACAACACACACACACACCACACACACACGCACACGCACACACACACACACACACACACACACACACACGCACACA